CCACAGTGCCAGCCCTGATAGTGCTTTTTTTTTTTTTAATATTTATTTATTTATTTGAAAGGCAGAGTTACAGAGATATAGGGAGAGACAGAGAAAGAGAGAGAGAGATCTTCCATCCACTGGTTCACTCCACAAATGGCTGCAATGGCCAGGGCTGGGCCACAGTGAAGCCAGAAGCCAGGAACTTCATTCATCTGGGTCTCCCAAGTGGGTGCAGTGGCCCAAGAACTTGGGCCATCTTCCACTGCTTTTCCAGGCACACTAGCAGGGAACTGGATCTGAAGTGGAGCTACAGGAACTCGAGTCAACACCCATATGGAATGCCTGTGCTGCAGGCATCGGTTTAACCACAGTGCTGGCCCTTGGAAGATAAAATTTTAATCAGAGTATTCAGTTTTAAAAATAAAGTATAGAGGCCAGTGCTGTGGCATAACAGGTAAAGCCGCTACCTGCAGTGCTGGCATCCCATATGGGCACTAGTTTGAGTCCTGACTGCTCCTCTTCCAATCCAGCTCCCTGCTATGGCCTGGGAAAGCAGTGGAAGACGGCCCAAGTCCTTGTGCCCCTGCACCAGCATAGGAGACCCAGAAGAAGCTCCTGGCTCCTGGCTTCAGATTGGCGCAGCTAGGGCTGTTGTGGCTATTTGGAGAGGGAACCAGCAAATGGAAGACCTCTCTCTCTCTGCCTCTCCTTCTCTCTGTGTGTAACTCTATCAAATAAATAAATAAATCTTTAAAAAAAATAATAAAGTATAACCTATTGTCAGAAAGTACTTCAACAATATCAATCATACTATCCAAGAAAAACATCCTGCTCTATTTGTATGAGATATTGTCCTAAGCATTTGTCATAAAATATAAGGGTATTTCAAACAGTTCATAGATAATGGAATTAAAAGATAAATTTATTTTGGTGCAAAAAATGTTGACATTTATGCATGTGAGATATTTTCAAGAAGGTCATGGACAATGCATATCATGAAAAAAAAATTACACTTGGAGTAGCTTTTTTACTTAGAGGATGCTTTTAGCAATAAGGTATTCTCTTCATCTACTGCTCTGCATGAGTGACAGCCTCAAATGAAAGATTTCACAATTTGAGCTTCCTGGGCACCGATTTGGAGCTCTTACTTAAAAATTTCTTTCTCTTTATTCTCTCAGGGCCTTGTCAAATAAAACAAAAAAAAATGTGTGAAAGTATTTTTGGAAAATTGAAGTTATTTTTTCCTTTGGAAGGATATGCGATCATCACCTTGTCCAGTTGGTCGGTCTTTCACCTAGTTTGGTCTGGCACAGAAATCAGCTTCATTTTCCAGCTCATCACACTCAGCATATGCTCCAACAAATGGATTCCTGTGTCCAGAGACCAGTAAAATCCCTGTGTCCCTTGGGGATTCTGCTACTGCATTTGTTCTAGGACATTAATGGATGTCCTAACCAGTCCACGTTTTCTCAAGCAATGACAACTCAAGGTCATACTTAAAATGAGGCATGTTCAATATAATGACTACAAAAAAATTGTCCATATGCAGCACACAGACATGGCTGGTGACGTCCATCATATATATCGCTTCTTTTTCCAATATGAAATTTAGTGAGGATTCTAATTCTAAGAGGCATTTTAAAAATCAACAAATCAATTCCTAGTAAAAAGCCTTTGCATGAATTAGAGCAAATGTTCAATCAGTACCCAATTTTCACTCAAAGGCAGGGAACTGCAGGGAAGCATAACTAGGCACATGGGCCAGACAATTGACCCCAAATTGGTCACTATCACCAGTTCTCTCAAAATGCATACCCTAAGCCACAAAGAAAGATTTAAGGAAAATCTGCACCACACTTCTTCAAATTGTAGGTCACCAACTCTGTCTGAAATTCTTTGTTAACATTTTTGTCCGGTGAACTAAATTGTTCAGTGTGACTGAAGAATGACTGTATTTCTGTGTGGAGTTTGTGATTGTTCAAAAGGAAAAAGGGAACTATTCAGAATGAAGGGGAACCAAATAAGAAAGGAGACTACAATTTAGAATTTGAAGGAATGTGCCAAAAACACTGCGGGATAAATCACAGGAAGTTTTTCAAGAACATGTAGCAAGACCAGAATGCCAAGTCCTCTTGCAGCAAAATAGCAAGTGATTAAAGCGATGTTTCCTGAGTATGAAAATTAGACTAACAGAAATAGGTTATCATCCCCTGTAATAATACAATAGAAATGAACACCCATCTGACTGTATTGGAAGAAAGTAGGTGAATTTTCTCTGTTAGTGGCTTGAACTAACAGACACAAATCAAATTGTTTTACCCTGGTTTTAGACAAGCTACTAATCAACCAAATTATGATTATCTACACTTCGCTTGATGTGCAAATTGTAAAATAGAACACCATAAAAGGGTATCGACATATATAGTAGCACAATTAGAACAATGCTCATAGAAATGGTAAAAAAGATGATCAAAATCATTATTTTCTCCTTATGAAATTGAAACAAAAGGAGCAAGGATTTTTAAAAGCTCTACCAGATAGATGATGGTAAAACAGAAAGCAGGGGAGGGGGCCCTTCAGCACAGGAGAGGAGTCCTAGCTCCTCTCCCAACTCCAGCTTCCTGAATGCACACCCTGGGAGGTGCTTATGATGGCTCAAGTACTTGGGTCCCTCCCAGCCACGTGGGAGACCTGGATTGAGCAGTTGTCTCCCAGCTTGAGCCTATTTCAGCCCCAGCCATTGTGAGCCTTTGGGGAATGATCCAGCAAATGTGAGATCTCTCTGTCTGGTTCTTTCTCCCTCTCTCTCTCAAATAAACATTTTAAGAAAGAAAAAAAAAAAAGAAAGCAGGTATAGCAATAATTTTGCTAGATAATTAAGTTTAAAATTTTAAAGGGGACAAGAGAGATATTTTATATTCATAAAAGTTATGATGCCAGGCCAGCACTGTGGTATAGTGGGTAAAGCTGCCACCTGCAGTGCCAGCATCCCATATGGGCACTGGTTCAAGTCCCAACTGCTCCACTTGCAATCCAGCTCTCTGCTACAGCCTGGGATAGCAGTGGAGGATGGCCCAAGTCCTTGGGCCCCTGCACCTGCATGGGAGACCAGGAAGAAGCATCTGGGTCCTGGCTTCTGATCAGCGCAGCTCCGACTGTTGCGGCCAATTGGGGAGTGAACCAGCGGATGAAAGACCACTCTCTCTCTCTCTCTGCATCTCCTTCTCTCTCTGTGTAAATCTGACTTTCAAATAAATAAGTAAATCTTTTAAAAAAAAATGATCCACCAAGGATATATAGTAGCTGGGAAACTTTGTCTGTTCAATAATATAAATTCAGAATATATAAAGCAATACATGATAGGTCAAAGAGCTATTGACAAATCCCAAACATGGTGGGATATGCAACTTATCACTCAAAAATCAACAGAATAGGATCTGGTGTTGTGGTGCATTGGGTTAAGCCACTGACTTCAGTGCCAGCAGCCCATATGAGTGCTGGTTGGAGTCCAGGCTACTCTGCTTCTGATCCAGCTCCCTGCTAGTGTACCTGGAAAAGCAGCAGAAGATGGCCCAAGTGAAAGCAGTAGAAGACAGCCTGAGTGCCATCACTAATTCAACCAGAGATGGAAAATATTTGCAGAAATAAATTAAATCTGTATGGAACATGCGTGTGGACTTTATTTGTTGTCATTTTCCCCTAAACAATACAGCATAAGGCCGGCGCCGCGGCTCACTAGGCTAATCCTCCGCCTTGCAGCGCCGGCACACCGGGTTCTAGTCCTGGTCGGGGCGTCGGATTCTGTCCCGGTTGCCCCTCTTCCAGGCCAGCTCTCTGCTGTGGCCCGGGAGTGCAGTGGAGGATGGCCCAGGTGCTTGGGCCCTGCACCCCATGGGAGACCAAGAGAAGTACCTGGCTCCTGCCATCGGATCAGCGCGGTGCGCCGGCTGCAGCGGCGGCCATTGGAGGGTGAACCAACGGCAAAGGAAGACCTTTCTCTCTGTCTCTCTCACTGTCCACTCTGCCTGTCCAAAAAAAAAAAAAAAAAAAAAAAAAAAAAAAAAATCTCTGTCTCTCACTGTCCACTCTGCCTGTCCAAAAAAAAAACAGCATAAAAATTCCATACAATTACATTAGATTAGGTATGAGGTACATCTAGAGATGACAAAGCATATTTATGGGAGGATTGCATAGGCTACATGCAACTATTATCCCATTTTATATAGGGGACTTGAGAATCATGGATTTGGGTATCCATAAGGAGTCCTGGAACCAATCCACACCACTCCAAACCATGCATCTATGAAGTCTTTAAGGAGTTTGTGGAAAATGCACGTTACAGAAAAACTATGTTTGGATTCCAGGATTTTTGCAGCAAAATAAACCTATCTTTTCGTTCCATTTTCCACGAACTTTTTGAAGTCACTTGGTGCATCAGGGAACCAGTGTAAGAAGTCTAAGAGTGAGAGTGTCTTGCATTCAAGTTCACACAGCAGGGAAGGACAGCTTCCCACCTGAGAGCTAGGAAAGTAAAAGGTGAGGAGGTATCAGGAGACACCTGCCGGGTGGTCGGACCCAAACTGGCACTTGAGTCTCCATTTCTTCCCTACCTGAAAAGCAAGCAAAACAGAAGGGCAAGGGTGGGGGAAACCACCTGAATTACCTCTCTCTAACACCCAGGAACAGTTAGGCAAAAAACCATAATAAAACAAAACCAGAAACGCTGCCCAGGGGCCCGGAGGTTAGCCGGGCAATCAAGCAGCAGGTTTGCACGACGGAGGAATCCTCTATCCTGTTGCCTGGGTTCCTGTCCCACCCCTTTCCAATCCAGCTTCCTGCTTATGCGCACCCCTGGCGGCAGCAGGTGATGGCTCAGGTACCTGCCACCCACGTGGGACACCAAGATCGAATTCCAGGCATTTGGGGAGTGAACTAGCAGACAGGCGCGTCCGCTTGTCACTCTCTCTGAAATAAACAGTTTAAATTAAAAAAAAAAAAAAAAAAAAAAAAAAGCCCACAGCCAGGTGGAATTCTGGGCTCCTGGCTTCCGTCCTGCGCAGCCCTGGCTGTGGCAGGTACTATGCAGAGTCAACCAGCAGATGAAAGATCTCTCTCCGTCTATCTCTCTAGCTTTTAAATAAAATAAAGGCAAATTAAAACTAAAAATAAAAACAACCAGTACCACCCAAAAACCCCAGTCGCCTCACTTCAGTGTGCAGGTATAGACCCCGAGGTGGGCTCCGGTCTCCAGCTGCTGCTGGCCACTCCCGAAAGTCAGAGGCGGAGCGGCTCAGCGACCGGGCTAGGGCGGCTGCAGAGCCGGCGGGTTTCCAGCTGGGCGGTTTCCTGCGGAGCGCGGCCCTGGGAGACGCGGGGTCTGCTGGCCCCGCTCCAGCCCCTCTGTAGCCGGAGTCAGGTCCGTGGAGTGGAGGATGGAGCCAGGGGAAGGCGTAGACGCCGGGTCTCTCCGCCCCGATCCTGTCTTTCCTACCGAAGAAACCCTGGCGCGCGTTTTTTTTTTTCCGGGTGCGATCGGCGCCCTGCTTTATCCAGGAAAACTCTGAATAATTATTATGGGGTGAGGATAGGGGGGTGAGGGAATCAGGTAAATCAGAAAAGGAACGACAGAAACAGCCCCGGCAGGTGTCTGTGCGCCGCGCGGTCGCTGTTACACCGCGCCCCTGGCCCCCAACGGTTCCACTCCTGACCCAAGTTTGGCCCCCTTATTTCGCCTCTAGAAACAGATATCAACGAAAAACAATCCTGGATGTAAGCATACATCTATCTACACCGACGTTTAGCACAGCAACTGATAACGGTGAGACATTGGAAGCTACCAAAATGACTAACAGTGTGGACGGTTGATTCTCAACCGTAATAATCCTTTCGGTGGAATTTAATGCGCACATTTTTCGGGAGAATAGCATGGCTCGGCAAACAAAACAAAACAAAACAAAAACAATCCGCTGTGTAGGAAGCAGAGTCGCTTACAAAAGTTTCTGATTGTCGGAAAGCAAACATGTAGATTTAAACTGGATGGACAGAGAACGGAAAATTGTTTTCTCCGACATGGCTAGCTGCTGAGTATAAATTTTCCTCAATGTTATTTTGGTATGGATGGAGTGGGGGGAGGTGGCTATTTTACATTTCTTGAATCTGCACCTCACCAAATCGGCTCGCCCTCTTTCTTCCCTGGAGGTTGGTGGATTCCAGAGCCCCCAGCCCGGAGGGCTTCAGACAGGGCGCGCACCTGCACCTCGGGCGGGGACCGCGAGAGCCCCAGGAACGTGGCCCGGCTCGGGGCCCGGGGGCGGGGGCTGGGTGGAGGCCGGCGGAGTCTGGGCCTAGGACGTGGGGGACGTAGGTTACGCCGCGATCCCAAAGCGGGTTGGGGAAGAGGGATTAGGACCAAACGTCCACACCCCTTCTCGCTCCCTGGCCCCTCTTCCGGCTGAAGGCGATTTTTTTCCCCCAAAATGTGTTAACTTCGAGAGAATCGATCGGAAACTACAAGCCCAATTTAAAGCCTCCGATTTAGAGTTCCGATTAGGCCCGAAAGGCTTACAACAGCCCCTGGGCCCCTCAGGGGCGTCTGCCGCGGTGACCTTTCGCGTCCCCTCCCCCAGTGGCTGTCAGTGTGCGTGGGCGGGGACCGTGCCCCTCGGCTCCAAGGCACCTAGCCATTAGGGAGGGACGCCCGTGGGTCTTAGCGCACAGACCTGGTGGATTCCCACTCGAGGCCAGAAAACTAGCGGGAGGCAGAACCCAGGGCTGGGCAAGCTTGCCGGGGAGGGCATGCGGGCCAAGTGTCCGGCCGCCGGGGAGGGGGCTGGGAGCTGCGAACGGATCCCTCAGACTCAGCCACGCCCTCCTCCCCACCCCCAAGCCCCCAAGAAACAGGATGTCTCATCCCGCCATTCTCTCACGCAGGTGGAGGCCGCCAATTAGGAGAAAAAAACCCCACTTTCCAGTTCAAGTGCTTATCAGCTTTGCGCCCCATTCTGCCTCTCCAAGCTGGGGTCGGGGGTCGAAACTAGATACAACATAATAGCGAAAAAAAACAGATCCGCGCTTACCTTGCGTATTTTGTTCGTGAAAGACTCAGCAATGATGATATAACCCGATTCTTCGTTTTACAAACAAGAGACCCAAGCCCAATGCGTGACCGCCAGGCTTGATACCAGTCCTCCTGATAACTTGAGCGCATACAGACAGACCTGAAAGAATTCAAATAAGTGCTGGGGAAGTTTGTTTGGAGGTTTTCTCATCTAAGCCCTTCTGCCTGGCTCCTAATGCCTGGCGACCTGTAGTTACTTTTTTTTTTTTTTAAGATTTATTTATTTATTTATTTGAAAGGCAGAGTTAGAGAGAGGCAGAGAGAGGTCTTCCATCCACTAGTTCACTCCCCAAATGACCGCAATGGCGGAGCTGCGCTGATCTGGAGCCAGGAGCTTCCTCCAGCTCTCCCACACGGGTGACTGTCTTGAATGAAAACTGTGAGGGCTCCTTATGGACGTAGACCTGCTATGGAGAGAGTTTGGATGTTTTTTGGCATAGTCTCGTTATTGAGCTTCCACAAGTGTCATGCAGGATATTCTCAAAAACGTTTGTGGAAAGACCTGTTTTCAATTCTTTGAAAAACCTCCGTTTTAAGAGCGCCTTCTCCATCCCGTCCTGCACTGTGTCCATGTGTCACAAGTCCTGTGGCTAAACATTTAAGCCCTCCATTTTCACTGTGCTAAGAACATCTTTTGTTCATAAATCTTTGCCTTTCCGATTCTCTTTAGCCACGATTCCTTAAACTGGAATTACCGAGTTAAAGACTGTAGATCTGTTTGGTGCACGGTGCTTGATGGCTTCCCTAGAATGTGGTGCCAGTCTACAGATCCAGCAGAGTGAGTGTGCCCACTTCATTTCCTTGGTGGTGAGGGTGAGAATTTGCTGTGTGGAAGTGGAAGTGACAAGGTCTACTCAGGACACAGCACCTTCCTTCTCTGTACCATCAACCCACTGTAGTTGGCATTTCCCGTACACCCAGCACAAGGGTTTGTTGACTGAATGAACGTGTTCCCAGCTTGCTTCTCATTCCACCCTGGCCCCCCTCACCACCACTCCCGTGGGTCCCACTGTGATAGAACTGCGGGAATGTCATCTTTCCTTGCCTGTTGAGCGGAGAAACGGGAAGATCTATAATCTGCTAGCAGGGCGCATAAACTCACCCTTGTGTGGTCTTTCCCAGTCTTGTCTTTGCACCTGCCATGCTTTCTCAGTTGTTCTTTGGCTTTGTGTCCCTGTTATTCTTTCTTTAGGCTGTTACATCCCCTGGGTGGCTGCTGTCAGTCTTAACTTAGGGATGCAGTAATGACAATAAGAGGAAGGCCAGATCTCATCTTTCATACACTCATTCATTCGACAACTATTTATTGAACCACCTAGTATACAGAGGCCAGGATGGTTGTTGGGGACACAGAAGATGATATTAATAGCTAGCACTTATTGAGAATAGGCTCAATGACAGATACTGCATTAAAAATAAGATTATATATGATCTTGCTTAATCCTTATTGGAGCCCAATCAGATAAGGATTGTTATTGCCCCCATTTTACAGATAGGGCAACTGATGCCTACAGAGGGTAAAGGGTAAAGTTCACACAGTGGTTTAAATGGTAGAGGCTACATCTTTTTTTTTTTTTTTAAGGATTTATTTTATTTATTTGAAAGACAGAGTTACACAGAGAGGTAGAGACAGAGAGGTCTTCCATCCATTGGTTCACTCCCTAGGTGGCCGCAACTGCTGGAGATGTGCTGATCTGAAGCCAGGAGCCAGCCAGGCCATAGCAGAGAGCTGGATCGGAAGTGGAGCAACCAGGACTAGAACCGGCGCCCATGTGGGATGCTGGTGCTTCAGGCCAGGGCTTTAACCCACTGCACCACAGCGCCGACCCAGAGCCTACATCTTAATCCAAGCAGTCCTAGTTGAAAGCTGGATAACAGAAGGGAGGGGAGTATGGAAGGCAGAAAATGTTTACATGAAGGCCCTTGGGCAGAAGGTGTTTTGGCTTGTCAAAGAAACTGTAAGGAAATTCCTGTGGCCACAGCACAGTATTCTAAAGGAAGCCTATCTCAGAGCAAAGTTAGAGGAAGAGGCCAAGGCCTTGTAACTAAGTGTTAAAGAATTTGAATCATGAAAGTGAGCCTACTAATGGCCTTGTGATGATAGGTTGTGCTCTGCAAAGATGCCTCTGGCCAGGAAGAGAAATATGTGGAGAGGGACAGGAACAGGAGAGGGCAGTGGCTGTTGTACTTAGCCCAGGTGGAAGCCATGGGGGCCAAAGGTGGACTGGATGGGAGGCGTGACAACCAGCTTCCTAGGGCAGTAGACAGATGGCCAGTGCCATTCCTGGGGTAGGGTCCTCAGTGGGGTAGAGAGGTGAATGAAGCTTATAGGAAGCTCTTTTTATTTATTTTAGATTTATTTGTTTTATTTGAAAGGCAGAATCACAGAGGGGGGAATAGAGAGAGAGAGAGAGACAAAGTTTTCCATCCACTGGTTCACTCCCCAAATGACTGCAATGGCCAGAGCTGGGCCAATACGAAGCCAGGAGCCAGGAGCTTCCTCCAGGTCCTGCAAAAGGGTACAGAGGCCCAAGGACTTGGGCTGTCTTCCATTGCTTTTGTGGGCCATAGCAGAGAGCTGGAGCAGCCAAGACAGAAACAGGCGCCCCATGGGATGCCAGCACTGCAGAGGAAGCTTTACTTGCTATGCCACAAGGCGGCTCCAGGCAAGCTCTTGAGTTTAGTTATGAACATGTGAAAATCAGATACCTCTGAAACACCCAGGTAGAGATTGCAAGTGGGGGAGTCAGATGGGAATTGAAGCCAGGGCCGGAGACTGTGCAGGGGCAGCAGGGGCAGTGGCAAGAAGCCAGGACACCACCATTTACAAACTGGACATCACAGGATGCCTGTGAAGGTACAAGAGGATCCGGAAGGTGAGGACATCAGGAGGAACCGTGTGTGGTGCAGGGAAAGCAGTGGAAACTGGCATAGCCAGGGGACGAAGGCTCGCGTGGGCAATGGAAGCCATGCTGCCTGTTTCTCAACTCACACACCCTCATGACAAGATCAGTGATTTCACAGTGGGATCCCAGGCAGTTGCCCTTCTGTCTGTTTGGATTCATGTCCCAACTAACAAAAAAAAGGGGGGGGGGGATAATATAGGCAAAGAATACTGTCAACATTTTTATTACTCTCATTTTCTGTTGTTTCAGCATTCGTCAACAACAACTAAATACAACTGAACGTTTAAACATAATCTTTACAGTGGCACAAACAGAAATAGTGGATCAAGTTCTAAACCCCAATCTTCAGAGGACACCAAGGTTTCCAGAACCAGGCCTAGATCGGTCAGAGACTGGTGGCATGGAGGCACTACTTTTGTCCCCAAGGAGACTGATTCTGTCCACAGCGTGGAGTTCCCGCTGTGCAGACACCGACTGTTTAATGAACAAAGAAGGTGGCCCTTGTCATGCCAGAGCCCAGAACACGGTGGTGCAGATCTACTTTAAATCACTAGTGGATGTTGTCGCTCTCTTTTGGTAAAATGATAACATGCTTATTTCCAAAGAATGTGGTTGAAGATAAATCTTTGTGCATTTAGGATCAAATATGCACGCAAATATAAAATACTAAAATATACACGCGATGGCTGAATTTAAATAGAGTGCAAAGCCAGTGTATTTGCACTTAAAATGACTAAAGAAACTTAAATCACCCTGCTTGCTGACAGATTGCATGGAGCCCATGGCAGTCTATCTTCTTTTTAGCAATTTATCAACCAATCATTAAGTGAGTTAACTCTACACTCGGGGAATGCTGATGGCAGCATTAGCCATAAATAAATAAGCTAATATGTACAATGGCTAAATGAATAGGCTTTGCCTTGTTGTTTTACGGCCCGAAAAGAACGCAGCTCTTCATTAAAGGAATCATTAGAAAATGTGGAAACTGATACTGCTGCAGTTCAGTGCTCTCTGCCCATTGATAATGGCCTCTGTATTCATTGTGGGGGAGGGAGACTGATGTCCACTTACTTCAGCAAGGACTGCTATTGAATGAATCCTTTAATGGGGACATTTACGACTGAAGGCAGCTAAGAGCTTGGGGCGGCCTCAAACCGGTCTTTCCCTCCACCCTGCCAGCTCTTAGGGAATCAATACAGGTAGTGCATCAGTTGGTGGTCGGCGGGCCTGTGAGCAGAGAGGTAGGGCTGAAATGGAAACTGACAGGTAGCCACTTAGAGGGAGGCTAGGGGTAAACACTTTGAAAAGTGAAGCTTCTCTCGGGAGTTAGTGCTGGGGTTTGAGGTTCGACAGGACCAGATTAGGAGCAAAGGGAAGGGGAATGGTAGGGAGGAGCCGCACAGACCCACCCGTGTGGGTGGTAGCTTTAGAGCCTCCCGATTCCCGAGGTAGCATCTGTGGTGGCTCCCACTGAAAATTATTTAAAATTAATTGTTAAGAATCGTGATAAAACACACCTAGTAGAACTTACCATCCAAAGCATTTTTTAAGCCAGTGGTTCAGCAGCATCAGCGCATTCACACTGTTGAGTAGCTGTCCCACCGCCCATCTCCAGAATAGTTGGAATTCTGTCCTCACAGAACAGAATCCCCACCCCCCCAAGCCCTGCCCCCACAGTTCTGCTTCCTAGGAATTGGACTGCCCTGGCTGGACTCACACAGTGCTTTTCCTTCAATGACTGGCTAACCTCACTTAGCACAGGTTCTTCCAAGTTCTTGTGTCACACTTTTCCTTCCTGTTCAAGGCTGAATAAGCCGCGCTATGTATGAGCATATATACACATATATGTTGTTTATTTGTTCATCAGTGCCCATTTGGTTGCTTCCTCCTTTTGGCTCTTGTACGCTCTCATTTTTTTTTTCAACCTTAAATTTACTATTTTGTCATTATTCTAAGAGTTATAAAGGGAAAACATTTCTTGTATTTCCTATATACAGTTTTAAGAGCAAAGTGATATACTTCCCATCTCTCCTCTTCGTTTTCTTATTTGTTTTTTCATTTTTACAATGGCATACTTTCAATATTCTTTACACTCACAAGTTTAACCCTCCACTAAATGAAAAAATACAACAAGTAGTAAGTAGAAAAACCACTGTTCCTCAAGACCATTTTAAGAGCCACCAAGACCCCAAAAACTTTTGTCTTTTTTTAAAGATATATTTGAGGGGCCGGCATTGTGGCGTGGTGGGTTGGGTCATCACCTGCTGCGCTGGCATCCCATCCGGGCAAGGGTTCAAGCCCTAGCTGCTCCACTTCCCATTCATCTCCCTGCTAATGCTCCTGGAAAGGTAGCAGAGGATGGCCCAAGTGGTTGGGCCCCTGTACCTACATGGGAGACCAGGAAGAAACTCCTGGCTCCTGGCCATTTGGGGAGTGAACCAGCAGACAGAAGATCAGTCTCTGTCTCTCCTTCTCTTTTGGTAACTTTGCCTTTGAAATAAATAAATAATTCTTTTTTTTTAAAAAAAAAGAAACTGAATATGTATAAGTAATGTTCAGTTAAAACTACTTATTGTATTTGAAAGGCAGAGTGACAGAGAAAGACAGAAGATTCTTCACCTTCTGGTTCATTTCCCAAATGGCCAGATAGACCAGGACCATGCTAAAGCCAGGAACCCAGAACTCCATCCAGGTCTGTCACGTGGGTGCAGGAACCCAAGCACTTGGGCCATCTTCTAGTGCTTTCCCGGGTGCATTAGTGGGGAGCTGGACCAGAAGAGGAGCAGCCGGAACTCCGATATAGGATACCGGTGTCACACAAGGCAGCTTGACCTGTTGCACCACAAGGCCAGCGCCCTGAAAACCTTGAAAAACATAAAAAAGCAAGCTTTAGATTTGACACGTCCCTTCCCCCACCCTGGACCCCCAGCATTTGCCATTAAGAGTTCTCACTGCAACAATGGGACACAATATTGCCTTTTAGCGAGGATTAGTGTCTCTCAAGCTTCCAATCGTAATAAGTGTCCAGGTCCTCATTAAAATGTGAGTTTTTCTGAGGCTCAGCTCCCCCAGGACTGGGACTCCGAGATTCAGAGTGCCATCTCCAGGACGTGTGCTTTCAAGGGTATTGCAGGTGATTCTTAACTGTAGGGACGTTTGAGACATTCAGACTTGTGCTTGATAGCGACCCCTTCTCTTTGGGAGTTAGAACATGACATCTTGGAAATGAATGGCTGATTCTATTTCTTTCTTTTTTTGTATTTGATAGGCAGAGTTTCCATTGGTTCACCCCCCAAAATGGCCACTATGGTCGACCGAAGCCAGGAGGCAGGTGCTTCCTCCTGGTCTCCCATGCGGGTGTAGGGGCCCAAGCATTTGGGCCATCCTCCACTGCCCTCCCAGGCCACAGCAGAGAGCTGGCCTGGAAGAGGAGCAACCAGGACTAGAACCTGGCACCCATATAGGATGCCGGCACCGCAGGCGGAGGATTAACAAAGTGAGCCGTGGGACTGGCCCCCTGGTTCTATTTCTTTCTAAATATTGACTCACAGTCGTGCACTGTGCAGTGCATTACTAGAAAGCTAAGGGGCAGGCGTTACCCAAGGTATTGAATAAATGAACCGTTCTAACCACGAGCCTGCTACGCCCGGACCTATAAACTCCTGGATGACTTGACATTTGGGTTGTGGGGCTAGGTTTCCTGGAGAGAATTTCCCCTATCCTGCCTCTCAGCATTTCTGTAATTAATATAATTCACAGAGAACCCCACTTTTAAGGAGTATTTGTTATTCAAGACCCATTGCTTCCTTTCCCTTGCAAATCCTGCCACACCCTGAATAAGCAATTGCATGGAACTGATCAACCAGGAGAGGTCTTGGCAATGGGCACGTCAGTCACTGCCAAATTTCCTGGCTGGCGGTGCTTAAGGATCATTTCCCAAACCCCAGCTCTTGACATCCAGCCTTAACCGAGGTTCCTGGTCTACGTGAAAGATTTCAAGACCCTCAGACCCTCGCATTATTTCTGGGAACAGAAAGACCTGCCTTGGGCTTGGCCGGCAGTGGTGGGGGTGGGGGAGAGGTGAATTGCTGAGAGGACTTGGTATTTAAGAACTGGGAAAGAGAGCAGGTTCCTTCCAAGGGAGAACTTGGTTAACAACCTTGGGAAACACCCAGTTCAGTTTTAGTAAAAGAGAATTTGGCCTTGGCACCATTAAATCAGACAGCCTGGAGCAGTGGAATTCACCAAGCACTCCTGAGGGTCTTCCTTGGTTCAGGTCCCACAGCCTTGCCAAAAACATTTTCCATCCTCAAAAACAATTTCAAAAGTGAATGATCTTGTTGTGTACCATTTTCCCTCTCAATTCTCTTGCTGTATCTCAATAGATGAGTTGATTTCAAATGAGTAAATGTATCTTAGAGGAAAAAAGAATGGGAAAGATCACATATTTGACCCTAAAATATTTCTCAATATTTTTATTGGCACTTAAAGATAATCGATATAAATGCCAAATAGAACACACATAGAAGGAAATAGAATACTTGGCATTTTTGTAAAAGCAAGGAGGAGATTCAAATCCCTCTGACATTTATATTTCCTTGATGGCAAACTGCTTTCAATACCAAGTACTGTGCTAGAAATAAACTTGGAATAAATTTTATAACTATATTGATATTTATATATTAAAGCGACTTTTTCATATATGGCAAAAAAATCCTGAAGAATCTCAAGAATCTGAAATTAAGTTGAAAAAGATGGGACCAGGTGTTGTGGGTTTTGTGGCATAGTAGGGTAAGCCACCACCCGCTGCTCCATTTCCGATCTAGCTCCCTGCTGATGCACCTGGGAAAGCCGTGGGAGATGATTAGTTGGGCCCCTGTCCCCCTTGTGGGGGACCTGGCTAGAATCTCTGGCTCCCAGCTTCAACCCAGCTCAGTTCTACAGTTGCAGGCATTTGCCTAGTGGATCTCTCCAAATGGAGAATAAATGAACTCCATCTCCAGATGGGAGCTCTTTACATCTCTCAAACACATTTTTGGGAAAGTTGGGATCCACACATAATAGATGCTGCTGAACAATGTTTTGTGACTTTACCTCTTTTTTTTTTTTTTTTTTTTTTGACAGGCAGAGTGGACAGTGAGAGAGACAGAGAGAAAGGTCTTCCTTTGCCGTTGGTTCACCCTCCAATGGCCGCCGCTGCAGCCGGCGCACCGCGCTGATCCGATGGCAGGAGCCAGGAGCCAGGTGCTTTTCCTGGTCTCCCATGGGGTGCAGGGCCCAAGCACCTGGGCCATCCTCCACTGCACTCCCGGGACACAGCAGAGAGCTGGCCTGGAAGAGGGGCAACCGGGACAGAATCCGGCGCCCCGACCGGGACTAGAACCCGGTGTGCCGGCGCCGCTAGGCGGAGGATTAGCCTAGTGAGCCGCGGCGCCGGCCGACTTTACCTCTATTCTGTGAATGGGAGTTCCTCCCAACCCCAGCATATCCTATATTTTGCTTGGAAACAAACTGAGCTGTGACTTTATGGCCTCAACAAGGAGCCTCCTGTGTCCTCACTGAGGTCCCAAACATCTGTCAGTTTTGATAGCTTTGTTCTGCCAGCACCCCCCAACCTCAGGACACCCTGAGGGCCCATTAAGAGCTCTATCGATGTCATAAATACCACTTTACTTCCAGCGTAGAGATTCCCCCCTCCCCCATTTTCAAATGTCCCTTTCTAGGGCCGGCGCCGTGGCTCAATAGGCTAATCCTCCACCTTGCGGCGCCGGCACACCAGGTTCTAGTCCCGGTTGGGGCGCCGGATTCTGTCCCGGTTGCCCCTCTTCCAGGCCAGCTCTCTGCTATGGCCAGGGAGTGCAGTGGAGGATGGCCCAGGTGCTTGGGCCCTGCACCCCATGGGAGACCAGGAAAAGCACCTGGCTCCTGGCTCCTGCCAGGATCAGCGCGGTGCGCCGGCTGCAGCGGCGGCCATTGGAGGGTGAACCAACGGCAAAGGAAGACCTTTCTCTCTCTGTCTCTCTCTCTCTCACTGTCCACTCTGCCTGTCAAAAAAAAAAAAAAATGTCCCTTTCTAAATATTTATTTTATTAGTTTCCCTGATTAGGTCATTATCCAAAATAAGTTACCTAAGCTGATTTTGACCTTTAAGAAGTAAGAAAAAAAATTTTTATTGTAATGAATGACCAGATATTTATCCTGAGACTCCGGTAAGGAAAAAAAGTATGAACAGAGAAGCTGCCTCACCCTGTGTCCGCTTTCCCTCCCCACAAAGCTTTGAAGCTGCACAGTTCTGCATTTCTAACAAATATGTCAACTGTGGTCTCTTGATTCCCAGTAAGAGTACTCCTCTGCCTGCAGTCTGTATTCTAATGGCTTCTCAAGTCAACATCCTCTTGATGCTCATTTTCACCCGCTGCTACCTTACAGGGATTGGGAGGATAACAGATAAAGCAATGGCTCTGAAACTTCCCCCAGACCATAGGATCAGTAGATAATGGCTACAGCCAGAGAGAATTTGCATTTTTAACAAGTGCCTCGAAGCCACTTTGGGGAACCACTGTCAACAATAAAAGCTGTGTAACTCTGTCTCCCTTTTCTTTAACTGATAGCATAAGGGAAAGGAAATATTTATTAGGTATCATTCCATATACATGTAATCTCACTTCAGTTAAGTCTCACAACAGCCTAGAACATGACTACATTATTTTCTGGATGAGGATGTTAACCCTCAGACACTAAATGACCTTCCTAACATTAAACAGTGAGAAATTGATAGACACACTTTTCAAAAAAAATTTTTTTTACAGGCAGAGTTAGAGAGAGAGACAAGAAAGGTCTTCCTTTTCCGTCGGTTCACCCCCAAATGGCCGCTACGGCCGGCGCACTGGGCCAATCCGAAGCCAGGAGCCAGGTGCTTCCTCCTGGTCTCCCATGCGGGTGCAGGTCCTCTATGTGGTGATTTGCCCGACTTTGTCTTAGTCTTTTTTATTCCTGCTGCAAGTTGGTCCAAATCATTTTTAGAGACAGAAGAGATCCACACTTTAAAGAAACAAGCAAGAGTTTCAGGTAATCACTCAAGGATGATGTTAGGGGGAGCATATCAGGACGTGATGACTCGTGTTACCATTTGATTCAAAAATAATATTCAAAGCCTTAAACAGCAAGAAAATGTCTCAAGTAATATATTTTTGAGCTAGCAGTGGAAGAAAGGCTGCCTAATTACCTGATGAGCCCCAGTCTTTCCAGAAGACCATTGTTTGACTTAATTAACATGAGCTTAAACAGTCCTAAAACAACAGGGCACATTCCCATTAGGAGAAATTGCCGAATTCCCTAGAGGGAAATCTGTGCCTGCTTTTCCACCTGCCGTACATCTCTTCCTAAGGATTCTGCTGAAGCTCAGAGCCTCCTTCTGCAAGACCATCTGTTCCATGCCGAATTGCTCCATTCAGGGAGCATGGGCCATGCATACAGGGTGAAGCAAAGCCCTAAGTAGCCAATAAAAACATAGCTAGGGGAGGGACACGACCTTAGCAGCTAGGGCTGCCCATCAAGCACTTTTTTGGGGGACTGGGCTAATTGACCTTCTTAGAGAAAGCCAGGATTACAAAGGAATTTAAGAATTGCCTTCTTCCCAAAGGTGGGTACTACGTTGATAAAATGCCACTTGTACTGCATTCATCACCATGGTCTGACCTCTCACCTCCCCAGCATTTACTTCCAGAGTGATGGTCAGGGATTCCACCCCGCACTGGCCCAGGATAGCTTCATCCTCCAAGGGGATACTGCCAGGAGCTCAACTTCATCTTTCCAATGAGGCTGCACAAGTCCGGTAGGTCACCTTGAGGCTGTATGGCTCCCAGATGTGGACAAAGAACTGCACATTGGCAGTTAGCTCCTGGTAGTTGCTATCACGAAGAGTTGAGAAAGCACTGTAACCCTAATCCTGGTCTTGGATTTTCCATGTTAACATTTAAGCTTGTTGTTGCTTGCTTTGAGAAATGAGACGCTAATGGAAAACACTCTATTGCCTTAGGATTCAAGCTGAGGAAATGGTGAGTTCGAAGGTTGGGCTTTGTAGTCTGACTCTGGCAGGCCTGGCTCTGCCCCTTTGAGGTAGATGACCACTCACCACTTCCTTCATCTCTCAGCCTCAACTTCCTCATCTGTGCAGCAGTGAATATCCTCAGATCTAATGTCACCCACACCTGAGATGAGTCTCCTGTAGCAAAGTGAATTCTCAGGGCAGGTATATAATGTGTTTGTTGCAGTAGGCTAAGCTGCCATTTGCTTAGGATGCCTGCATCCCAAATGGGAGTGCTGATTCCAGCTATTCCCTTCCAATCCAGCTTCCTGCTGATGTACCTGGAAGGCAGCAGATGATGGCCCAAGTACTTGGGTGCCTACCACCTATGTGGGAGGCCAGAGGGACTTACAGGCTCCTGGCTTTGGCCTGGTTCAACTTTTTGACTGTTGCAGGCATTTGAACCAGTGGATGGAAGAGCTCTGTCACCCTGCCTTTCAAATAAATAAATTTTTTAAAAATTGCATTTCCCCCACACTCACACCAGCCTGGTGATCCCTTATACAGTACATTTTTCTTTTCAGTGGGATTACTTGTTTCTTTTTGCTCTCTGGTAGCATGAGTCAGCTAATTAGAAAACAAAAATCCACTTGCTTATCCATTAAGAATGCAATCAGCTTTAAGAGGGAAGATTAGTTCATGGAGCCAGCACTGTGGTGTAGAAGGTTAAGCCTCTGCCTGCAACACCCACATAGGCAACAGGTCACATCCCAGCTGCTCCACTTCCAATCCAGCTCCCTGCTAATGTGCCTGGGAAAGCAGCAGAGGATGGCCCAAGTGCTTGGGCCCCTGCACCCATGTGGGAGACAAGGAAGAATCTCCTGGTTCCTGGCTTCAGAATGGCCCAGCTCCCACCCTTGTGACCATTTGGGGAGTGAGCCAGCAGATGGAAAATCTCTCTCCCTCCCTGTAACTCAGCTATTCAAATAAATAAGTAAATCTTTAAACAAAAAGATTCATGCCTGAATACTTAGTTTCAACAGTAATGAAACATTAGCTTGGATAGATTTTTAAAGAATTTTTTTATGCAGAAATAGAGCAGGTGATGGCCACAAACAGTACAGGTGAGGGTCCAAGGCAATGAACCTGTTGAAGAATAGGCTTCCTTCCCTCTCATTACAAAATCTGGAAACCTGCCCCAGCCTCTGTACCACAGGGACTGCGAGTCACTCTCAGAGTATGTGTTGTTTTCAGACCCCGAGCACAATCACCCCTCCAGCTTTCATCACTTCTTGTTAAGTCTGCCAAAATTCCATTTTTGTTAAAAGCTCCAGGAACCATTTCTGTGAAACCTGTAAAACCAAGGTCAATAGATCCGGCAAATTCAGCAGACGGGTCAGTTCTACTTTTCTGCTTCTCATTCAATATTGCCATCACTTGTTCATTCGACACACCTACCCCAGGACATTTTGACAGAGAATCCGTGTCCCCAGTCTCCACACTGCCCATGCTGTGAGGGCTAGTAGTGTTCGTGAGACTTCATGTGCGAGCAGACAGCGTCCTGACCTGTGAAGGTCTGTCCACAAACACTGCAAGAGCAGCCTTCATCCTCCTTGTGGGAGCGCCGGACATGGCTGTCATGGGCCGCGTGCGATGCAAAAGATTTGCCACAGTACTTGCATTTGAAGGGCTTCTCCCCGGAGTGCTGTCTTATATGTGTGCGGAGTATGCTGGAGGCAGTGAATTTCTGCAGAGAACGGAGAGCAGAAGAAAAGTCAGCTTCCAGCAGTTGGACACCAATTAAACAAAAGGGTTAAAGCCCGGTGTTGTGGCATAACAGGTTAAGCCACCACCTGCGGCTTATGGATGCCATATGAGCACTGGTCCAAGTCCCAGCTGCTCCATTTCTGACCCAGTTCCCCGCTCATGCAAACACCTATGCCAACTTTAGTTTAATTCACTGAATTTTAATTAACCTTAATTAAAATGGTCCCATGTGGTTAACAGCTAACTATGCATTAGACAACATAGATGTGTATCTATCATCAAAGTGCTATAATATCTCTCAGGTGTGCTGTTTCAGCAGCCCCTAACCAAATGAGGGCAGTTCAGAAAGTTCATAGAAATGAAATTAAAAGTCAAGTTAATTGTTGAAATCCATGGATGACAGGGGTCTTTGAAATGTTCATGGAAAATGAACAAAAAAATTATCCATGAACTTCAAAATTTTGTGCACCAAAATAAACTTTTTTTTTGGAAGATTTATTCATTTATTGAGAGGGCAGTTACAGAGAGAGAAGGGAGTGAGAGAGAGAGAGATTCTCCATCTGCTGATTCACTCCCCAGATGGCCAAGCGAAAGCCAGGAGACTCATGGGTGCAGAGGCCCAAGCACTTGGGCCATCTTCCACTGCTTTCCCTGATGCATTAGCAGGGAGTTGGACTGGAAGTGCAGCAGATGGGACTGGAACAGGCGCCCATATGGGATGCTGGCCAGTGTTGTCACAGGCCACAACACCACCCCCTAAGCTTATCCTTAATTCTATTTCTCCATGAACTTTTTCAGCATTCTTCCAATTTAAGTCTTCTAGATTAAAGCAGTAATAATGGTAGCTACCGTTTTAGTAGCAGTTACAATGTGTTGGGTATGGTTATGAGAACTTTACCTATTGACTCATGTAATTCAACAGCTCCATAAAAACTACTTACCCCTATTTTGACAATGAAGAAACTAAACAACAGAGAACTTAATGGACTGACTCAAGGTTGCACACCTAGGTTAGGAGTGAGAAGTTGTGTCACAATGGGTTAAGCTGCTTCTCAAGTTGTCTGCATCCCATATCAGAGCACCAGTTGGAGGCCTGGCTGCTCATCCTCTGATCCAGCTCCTTGCTAATGTACCTGGGAGTCACTGGGAAATGGCCCAAGTACTTAGCTCCCTGACAACCACGTGGGAGACCTGGATGCCATTCCTGGCTCCTGGTTTTCAGCCCAACGCAGACCCGGCTGTGTGGCCATTTGGGGAATGAACCAGTGGATAGAAGATCTCTTTTTCTTTCTCTCTCCCTACAACTCTGCCCTTCAAATAAAACATAAAAACATAAAAAAAACTTTTATTTAAAAAGTAAATCTATGGGGCTGGCGCTGTGGTGCAGTGGGTTAAAGCCCTGGCCTGAAGCACTGGCATCCCACGTAGGCGCCGGTTCTAGTCCCGGCTGCTCCTCTTCTGATCCTGCTCTCTGCTATGGCCTGGGAAAGCAGTAGAGGATGACCCAGGTCCTTGGGCAAGTGCACCCACATGGGAGACCCAGAAGAAGCTCCTGGCTCCTGGCTTCGGATCGGCACAGCTCCGGCCATTGCGGCCATCTGGGGAGTGAACCAGAAGATGGAAGACACCTCTCTCTCTGCCTCTACCTGTCTGTATCTCTGCCTTTCAAAGAAATTAATTAATTAAAAAGAAAAACACATCAGTTCTTAAACATTAAAAACAAAAAATAAAAGAACAGAGAAGACAAGTCAAAAGAGAGCTTTGAACATCGGTCAAACCTCTGATCATTAGGTCCCTATCTATTTGGAAAGTGTTTCATGACACATGCCCCGAACACCAGCTTTAGTAACAGGTCATACCCGGGGTAGAAATTGAGAATGAGCTGATAATTGACTAAGATTTACTGAGAACTCAGTATAAGCCAGACTTTTTGCTTTAAATCACCTATGGGCACCCAAGTAGGGTTCAAGACGGATCCTTTGAAGGTGGTTCTGCTTACCTTTGTGCAATATACACACTGGTACGGTCTGTCTCCAGAGTGGACACGCATGTGTTTGTTCAGGCTGGAAGACTGAGAGAAACACTTCCCACAGGTGGAGCACTGAGGGAGAAAACCATTATGTTGAAATTGCATGTTTCCCTAACCAAGTCTCTCCCAACCTTTACACTGACCTGGAGGGGCGAGGGGAGCGCTGTGTTTATTTTGTGTCCATCTGTAAGCAGCGGATCCCCCTGCCCCAGGCTGGGCACCTACCTACTGAGACAGTAGAAAGACATCCTGGGATTCAGTAAATAATCAGCGGCATGGGCACTGGCACTGGCCCAGACCCTCCCGATATCATCCCTAATGCTAATGCTGTGACTCTAGGAAATTCACGAGTGTCTTTGGGTGTCAGTTGTTTCAGATGTGAAATCTGGAACCCAGGAGGACCGTGGTATACAATGGAGATCTGAATCAGCCCTGTTCTGTAAACTAGTAGCTGTGTAACCCCAGCAAGTCTGCTCTATTTGCAATCTTTGTGCTCCTGGTTCCAACGGGATCTTTTCCAGGAATTTCACACCAGGGAAAGGGAACCACTGAGAGGTGGCCAAGGACACCTGTTGACTGACATCATTTTTGAAGCAGTCGCACAGACTGTAGGGAAACCTGTGTCCTCTGGAGAAGGCATGCGTGCTACCGTGGCCTCGTCCCCAGGTGTGCTCAGGTGCAGATAGAGCTCATCTTTTTAGATGGTGGGATTTTAGGGCTTCCCTTATTTTCCTCTATGGCTTGGAGTTTGAATAATGAACACCTATAAAAGTGCTCCTAAAAAGTCTACGTAAAATAGAATTAAATTTGGGTTGGCATCGTGGGGTAGCAGGTAAAGCTGCTGCCAGCAATGCCATCGTCCCAGTTCCCTGCTCTTGGGAAAGCAGTGGAAGACGGCCCAAGTCCTTGGGTCCATGTACCTACCTACATGGGAGACCCGGAAGTTCCTGGCTCCTGGCTTCGGCCTGGCCCAGCTCTACGCATTGCGGCCATTTGGGGAGTAAACTAGTGGATGGAAGATCTCTCTGTCTCCCTCCCTCTCTGTAACTCAGCCTTTCAAATAAATATAGGAAACCCAAATGAAGCTCCTGGCTTCAGCCCAATCCAGCCCCTGGTCATCATGGCCTTATCTGGGGAGTGAACCAGTGCATGGAAGCCCACACTCTCTCTCCCTTTCTCTGCCTTTCAACTAAATAAATAAATCTAAATATAAACAGGAAAAAAAAATAATCAAAAAAACTATGGCACTCCATCAACTGTAGAACAGAGCCCAATTTCAAAAATCTTAAAATGTGAAAAGACCTTAAATCCTAAAATTGAAAATATATGACTTGCAAAATATTATTACAAAAGCATTTAATGACAGAAATACCTAATAAGGACATAAATTGATATATTACAAGACCAGTATAAATGGCAAACAAAAAGTTATCTTACAAACTGAAACCTCATGAATAATGAGGATGCAGGGGGCCGAGGCTGTGGCGCAGGGGGCCGGTGCTGTGGCGCAGTGGGTTACAGCCCTGACCTGAAGCGCCAGCACCCCATATGGGCATCGGTTCTAGTCCCAGCTGCTCCTCTTGCGATCCAGCTCTCTGCTATGGCCTGGGAAAGCAGCAGAGGATAGCCCAGGTCCTTGGGCCCCTGCACCCATGTGGGAGACCCAGAAGAAGCTCCTGGCTCCTGATCGGTGCAGCTCAGGCCATTGGGGCCATATCGGGAGTGAACTAGTGGAAAGGCCTCTCTCTCTCTCTGCCTCTCTTCTCTCTGTGTAACTCTTTCAAATAAATAAATAAATAAAATAAATCTTTAAAAAAACCCAGTAAGTTGAAAAGAAAAGATAATTATTGGCAAGATAGCCGAGCCCAGGTGCGGTCCATGGATTCCTGCCACCTTCTCTGGAAAGTGATGTAGCACTTTCAGAATTCAAAACTCTCAACACTGGACTCACTCTTTAACTCAGTTTTTTCTATTCCTAGGCGTCTATCACAAAGAAATAATCAGAAATATACAGCAGAGGCAGCAGCCTCCATAGAATACTGTTCACGGCTGCAATATTGGAGTTAATGGCACAAAATAGGGGATTAAATAAACAAAGTATGGCACATCCATCTGATGTAGAGATATAGCACTGTTATTTTTACACGTAGCTTGTGATATATGTAATGTCAAGTCAGAACAGTACCCTTATCATATTCAGTAGGATCCCAATCACACACATATATACACAAACAGAAAACTATTCCTAAAATGGCTCAACTTTGAATCACAGGGTGTCAGGTGTCTTTCATACGTTTATTCTCAAAATCCTGTGCACCCAGCATATTGTTTTCTCACATTCAAAAATAAAAGTAAATACTAAAGACATTTATCAAGTACAAACATGAAAGTCACTCCTGGCTTCACTTTCAGTCATACTCCAAAACATGCAGCTGGTGGCTTCTTGTCCTTCACCCGGTTTTCCATTTATATGCAAAACATTACACATACACATCTTAAATAACACCATTCTATACATATTCTGTAACTTGCTTTTTGCTGAATACGTTTATGCATCAGAATACTGAGTAGTTTAATTGTACCTTTGCCAGTCTGATGGGCAAGAAATAACTTCACTGTCTTAATATTTTTAAATCCATTTAGAATGATCCAAATAATAAATGATCATTGCAAAAGGATGCAATCTTCAAAGGGTTGTTACCTAAGACCACATACATGCCAAGCTTTTTCCCCTACCGGACTAACCCTGTCTCCAATATGAATCAGACCCCTCCCTAACCCTTCCAGACTCTGATCAAGGCCACCTTGCCTATGGTGCTTTCACATTCTTCCTTCTGCCTGGTGTCTGTCTGTCCTCTCCCATGGCTTAGTAAACCTGAAGCTAGCCACTGGGAACCCAAGCCAGGGAGGGAGGGTGGCAGCAGGCCCAGGGTCAGCCGGTCATGCACCTGCCCAGTGCTCACCTTGTGAGGCCGATGCTTCTCATGAACATGGAGGATGTGGATCCGGAGCCGGTCCCGCTTCTCAAAGGACCGTTTGCAGAGAGAACAGGGAAATTTCCTATCACCCTTGTCCACGCAGGGGGTGTACTTGAGGTGCTTATCTCTGTAGTATTTGTAGGTAAACACTTTCCCACATCTCTCACATCTGTAACCTTCTGCAGACTCTGTCAAACACAGTGGGGTTAAGTGTCAGTGCCTTTTTCAGCTTCCTTCTCTTTTCTCTCCAAAAGAATTCGTACCAAAGTCAAAATAATAGTGCTAAGAAGCCCTCATGTGCCCAATACCCAGCTTTGACAAACATCAACTCATAGCAAGTTTTGTTTTCTCTTGTATCACTTCTCTCCATAATGGGTTATTTTAATACTAATCTATCATTTGATTTACAAACACTGAATCTCAAATTGTAATCTTTGGAATATTTTTAAAGCATGACCATAATGCTATTGTTTTCCCTAAAATATTAGCTGATTCCTTAATAGAAATATGTGCACATATATATATGCATATGTGTTTAGCTACTTTATAAAAGAGGGAGGAGAAAGAGATCTTCCATCCACTGCTTCACTCCCCAAATACACTCAACAGCCAGTGTGGGCGAGGCTAAAGCCAGGAGCCCAGACCTCATCAGGTCTCCCACTGGGTAGCAGGGGGCCCCAGAAACTTGAGCCATCATGTGCTGCCTCACAGGATGCGCATTAGCAGGAAATGCTGGATTCAGAAGCAGAGTAGGTGGTACTAGAAACCAAACTCCAGCATGGGATGTTACAAGCAGTGGGCTTAACCCCTCTCTTAAGTGCCTTAATCTATAAGCTCTCCTTCCCTTTTCCATGAAATATACTCAAAGAAACCCTTTCTGTAGCATGGGTAAGGTTCTTAAACACGCTTCTGTCCAGCACTTGTTCCAAGGTTAATGCACTCAGACATCCGGACTTTCTCCCCTCAAGATCAGCCTGAGCTGTAAATGCAAAACGCTCACCAGGACACCCACAGCTGGCTTCCCAGTGCTGTTTCCTCAGTTTACAATTCACTTTTCCAGGGCTACCATCTTCACATAGAGAGCAATGGGGAAAGCTATCTTGACTTCCTCAACACAGTCACCTAATCCTGGTCCGTGCTGAGCTACGACTGCGACTGCGTGCCAGGCAGCCTCCCCCAAAGGCTTGTTGCTTTCAAAGGATGTTTTGGGGGGGAGGTTAGAGAGGGCACAGCGGACTCTAGCTGAGGACACTGCAGATCCAGAGGTGTCTATGTGTTGAGGGCAAGAGAGAGGACAGAGGCCACCTACAAAAGCACCCCCACTGAGGCCTCCCTGGATTCCAGAGGATAAAGTGGCTTTGACTATGAATGTCCCACTGAGACCTCATTGTCTGCTGGCTGTGAGCGAGAAGAGCCAAGAGCCAGTCCATGCAAGAATCTGTAGATAGAAATCTCTTAAGCATCGGGACAGCAGGGAAGCTGTCCATCAGGGACTTTGTTAGTTGACAACTACTTCCCAGGCACGTTTAACAGGTGGCTAAGGAAATAAACCCTTCATTAAGTAAATAACCAAGAAGCCAGCAGCCAACCCAGCGAGGATCTGCCCTGCTTTGTCTATCACTTTCATTGAGGTGCTTAAAACTCAGAATTCCCCTGGTGGGGCTGCTTCCAGCTCAGAGCTAGAGTAGTCATTGGTCAGAAATACCGGGCCTTCCTGCTTCCTGGCCCAGGGGAGGCGAAACAGGAAGGGGAGTCAACGATTTTATAAGCTGAAGCATCAAAACGCACCAAAGTTTAGAATAAGAGTTCAACAGTGAGTCTGCGTAGAACCACTGAGGCAGTAATGAGTCAGGATCTTTAGTAATTAGGCTCCGGAGGCCTACATTCTCTGCTCAGGTTGTAGGAAATTTATCTTCATTTCATTTAATCCCAGTCCCTTCTCCCACTCCCTATCTCTATAGTTTTTTTTCTTTTTCTTTCTTTTCTTTTCTTTCTTTTTTTTTTTTTGACAGGCAGAGTGGACAGTGAGAGAGAGAGACAGAAAGGTCTTCCTTTACCGTTGGTTCACCCTCCAATGGCCACTGCAGCCGGCGCACGGTACTGATCCGAAGCCAGGAGCCAGGTGCTTCTCCTGGTCTCCCATGGGGTGCAGGGCCCAAGCACCTCGGCCATCCTCCACTGCACTCCCTGGCCACAGCAGAGAGCTGGCCTGGAAGAGGGGCAACCGGGACAGAATCCGGCGCCCCGACTGGGACTAGAACCCAGTGTGCCAGTGCTGCAGGCGGTTCCACTCCCTATCTCAATCAGCTGCTCTTTTAATCCAAGGAGTTTCTAAATACTGATAAGGATATTTTCTGTCCAAACCCAGTTTAGACAATTTGCCAAAGATTAAGAGTTGTCTTTCAGATAGCAGATCACATGTTAAAGTGTTTTCATCACAACTGGGAAAAAAAAAAAAGCTCTATCTTCACATTCCACACCTCCATCCCCCAAAACACACACACACTTGCATATTCAAATATCCCGCCCACATAGAGTCCAGAGCCTTCTCTCCCCACTCCAGCCAAACCTGAAGGGGAAGGCCGCCTCCAAATCCCTTCTCAATGCCAAAATGACCTTGAGAAAAAAACATTTGAGATTAATTTCGAACTTCCTTTCCTTTTCAGTCATATCCAGTTCCGATCACAGTAACAGAGGCAAATGAATTCACTGAGAATTCTTTGCAATAGATTAAGGTGTATACAAGTTTCTTTCCCCACATGGGCCAAAAGACATGCTATCATCTCAACGCCGAAAGCATCAGATGTCATTTTTGCAAAGGTGAGGCAAGTTAGGTTCCCCCTGCTGATCATCGTAAGCTCTCATCCCTGGTGCTTGCTATGGTTACGATCTTTGATATCTGCATATAATTCCATGTCAATAATGTATCAGGGGCCAGCGCTGTGACAAAATGTGTAAGGCTGCCGCCTGCAGTGCCGGTATCCCGTACGGGTTCTGGTTCGAGTCCCAGCTACACCACTTCTGATCCAGCTCTCTGCTATGGCCTGGGAAAGCAGTAGAAGATGGCCCAGGTGTTTGGGCCCCTGCACTCACGTGGTAGACCCGGAGGAAGCTTCTGGCTCCTGGCTTGGGATCGGCCCAGCTCCAGCTATTGTGGCCATTTGGGGAGTGAACCAGCAGATAGAAGACCTCTCTCTCTGCCTCTCTGTGACTCTGTCTTTCAAATAAAGAAATCTTAAATGTATGATTTATTCAATATTTCTACTGTTGAGCACTTAATTTGTGATTTTCATGAATATGGATAATGCCACAGTAAAAATCCTGACATGCAAAGTGGTTTTTTCCTTTTAGGCTGCTTCTTTTCTTTCTTTTTTTCAATCTTTATTTGAAGGGCAGAGCAATAGCGAGAGGAAGAGAGAATCTTCCATGTGCTGGTTCATTCCCCAGGTAACCTCAACACCCAGGGTTGGGTCAGGCCAAAGCCAGGAAACATGAACTCTGAGTCACCCACATGGGTGGCAGGGATCCCAGCACTTGAATAGTCATCCCAGGTTCATTAGCAGGGAGCTTGATTAGAAGTGGAGCAGCTGTCACTCACCAAGCATTGCAATACAGGATGCTGCTAATTAGGTGGCAGCTTAATATGCTCCACAACTCCAACAGTTGACTGTTCCTAGTGACAATTTGCAGAAAAGTATTACTGAGGTGTCAAAGATTAATAAATACTGTATTAGTTTGATGCGTATTATTAAGCAGAATGCACATTTCTAGAAGTGACCAAAACAGACTGAGTTGGCTGGGGGAGTGAGAAGACAGCTCACCTAAACGACACGGAGAAGCCCTCGTTATCCAGGCTGTGGGAAGAGACTGCTCCTCACTTACCTCCTAGCCCCTGCTGCACATTTCCCTGCCTTTGGCTCCCCTGTTTTCTGAAATTGGGTTGCTTTCCCTCTCTCCTGCTGCCCTACACCTCCCTTACTTCACTTCATCCCAAAGCAGCCTGTCCCAATTATCCCTCTTCCAGGCCAGCTCTCTGCTGTGGCCCGGGAAGGCAGTGGAGGATGGCCCAAGTGCTTGAGCCCTGCACCCCATGGGAGACCAGGAGAGGCACCTGGCTCCCGCGTTCGGATCAGCACGATGCGCTGGCCTCAGCGGCCATTGGAGGGTGAAGGAAGACCTTTCTCTGTCTCTCTCTCTCTCTCTCTCAGTCCACTCTGCCTGTCAAAAATTTAAAAAAATTATAAAAAGAATTCAAGCCAGGCTTTTTTTTCCTGTAGCTTAGCATATTTATTAGACCATAACAGGGTTGCTTTTCACCAGACTACACATATTACATGGTTTACACGGTCTTGTCCCACCTGCTGGATGACTGACTAGTCCCAAAACTTTTATGTGTATAAAAATCGCTTGGCGGTTACTTAAAATGCCAAATCCAGAGACTCATCCTTCAGGGTGAACTGGGGTTCCTCCAGCTCCCTGCTGCTCAGATGTGATCCAGGGACAGCAGCATCATAGCCCTAGAAGCGTGATAGAAAGTAGACAGGTAGGCATTGGTATAGCAGTTAAGACACTGCCTAGGAAGCTCACATGCCTTATTGGAGGGCCTGGATTCAAGTCCTGAATCTACTCTTGATTCTTGCTTTCTGCTAAATGCAACAAGTGATGGCTCAAGTGGTTGGGTCCTGGCCAGCCACATGGAAGATGCAGATTGAGTTTGGGGCTTCTGATTTCAGCCTGGCCCAGCCCTGGCTATTGTGAGCACTTGAGAAGTGAACCAGCTTCTCGTCTGTGCCTCTCTCTCTCTCAAATAAGTAAGAATTTTGAAAAATTAAAGAAAAATAAACAAGGCAAAAGGAAGAAAAAAAAAAAAAAGGAAATGAAGAACCTGAACTCCAACCCTGAATGAGAATCAGCATCTTTACAAGATCTCCAAGTACACATACTCAGGCTAGTTCAAGGTCAAGAGCAAGAGTCCAGTCCTATGTTTCTCAGACTTACCTGAGATCCACTTGACATCCAGCACAGGCACACGCATCCATTTGAAACAAGAACATCACAAATAATACTTCCTATTTCTTACGTGATTCCAATCAGTAATTTCCATTCTGCTTTATTCTGCCACCCTCTTCCACCCCACGACCCACCATCTGAAAAACACTGCTCTAGCACCTTGACTGCATCAACTGTGGCAGCCTGAGCAGAGATGACAGAAAACTGGCTCGGCTAAGGCACAGGTTTGAGAGGGGTGAAGGGATTGGGGGGAAAGGATGTCCCTATAAACAGAAGTAGTTTCAGCAGGTTGGGAGCTGAGAGCTCTTTTCCTTCAGCCAGGTAGCCCCCCCCCCCCATTACAGACATCCTCAATTGAGTCTCTGCATAGCCATGCTTTAGCCTGGGGGAGAGGCCCCAGTAAGGAGGGCTTTATGGAAACGAGCCCAGTCCTTCCAGTGGGAGGCCTTCCTGGGGAGGCAAAGCCACACACTCACCTTCAGAGGGCCTGGTTGCCTGCTTGCCGGGCTCTGTGACCTGGAGACTCACAGGAATGTCCAGGAACTTCTCATAGCAGTCTCCATACCACACAAGGAGCTCTTGGTTCTGGTAGATCTCCTTGCAGCTCTCATAAAATATCTGCCCTTGGCACTGCACGGCAACTAGGTTCTGCTCCTTGGGGAAGCGGGCACAGTTGACATAGGACATCCAGTTCCCAGTGCCTTTTCCATCTATAAAGTGGCTTAAATGACCATCTTCAAAGATCTGAATAAAAAAAGACAGAGTCTGGAATGAACTGCTTTTCCCTCTAATTTAGATAATATTTACTTAAAAATTAAAAATTTATAGATTTCTATAAATTAGATTTCTATTATCAAAGTAAGTAGCATATAATCCTACTTAAGCCTAAATAGATTTATTAGTTTAAGGAGTTCTCTAATGGTGAAGTAACAGATTTCCATTAGGCTAACCATGTACCCCTAACACATATATTTTTTAAAAATATATTTATTTATTGGAAAATCAGTTACAGAGAGAGGGAATGAGGAGAGACAGAGATCTTCCTGGCTCACTCCACAAATAGCAGCAATGGCCAGGGCTGAGCCAGGCAAAAGTGAGGATCCAGGAGCTTCTTCCAGGTTTCCTACGTGGGTACAAGGGCACAAGCGCTTTGGCCATCCTCCGCTGCTTTCCCAAGCTCATTTGCAGACAGCTGGATCAGAATCAGAGCAGCTGGGACTTGAACCAGTGCCCATATAGAAGGCAGACAATGGCTTAACCCACTGTGCCACCGTGCTGACCCCTCCCCAGCATATATTTACAAGAATCCTACTTTTATCCCTTTCTGGATACCAAAATTTCTGTAGTAATTTAATGAATTTCATAAGCAAGAGTCATGGAAACAAAGAAGAGATTCTATTTAATTCCACCTCTGAAAGACAACCAATTAGTTTTGCTTTATGCCCACTTAGTTTTCAGCCACATACACTGAATCATATTACTTAATTCTTTCTCCACTGGTAGAGATCTCACTGTCTACAACATTTTGTTATTATAAACAACCCAGTGATTAACATTGTCTGCATAGCCTGAAATTTCAGATTCGTTTCCTAAACTAGATTCCTAGAAGGAGAAATTCAGGATCAGCGGTTTTGCACACTTCAAGGTATCTGATACACTCTGACAACAAACATACTTCAATCCCACCAGCATGCCCTATACACCAGCACTAATTTAAAGCCTGCCAGATTTTAAAAATCCTTGACTAATTTCAGAGGCAAACAATACAGAATCCTAAAATTCTGTGTCTATTTCCTCTGGCATCCTTTCAGAACTTTAGAATAGTAGAAGGGGTTGGTTTTGTCCATAAACATAACACAATGTGTTCAGCTCTCTCAATGGATAGTCTAAGGCTGGCCTTCACAGACTCAAATGACTTAGGGCACCACAAAACACAGAAGTCGTGCAGAGGCACTGTCCTCACGCAGGGAACACCCGCTGTTCCCCCCTTTACAGGCAACACAAACAGCAGATAGCTGCTGGGATGTCCCCTCCCGCGCCAGGAAACCCCCCCCTCAGCTCCCCCTCCCCCACCAGAAGCCTGTACCTCCCACATCACAGAATTGTCTCGGCAGGTCTTGACTTCGCTGGCTTGGACCACTTTGCCTTGAAAGGGCCCGAACCTGACTCCCTTGGCAATGAAGCTGCTGCAGAACACCCCAAAATGCGAGACTTTCCCAAACATCGTCCGCAGGAGGCGGAGACCTGGGGGACAAATCCAAGGCAAGGAGAAAATGAGAAAAGGGGGACCGCACAAGTGCCACGGAGAAATCCGAGCAAGGGGTTCTGCCCACCTTCTGGAAGTTGAAGGGAGTCTTTGTCCAGAGTTTGAGGAAGCGAATCAGACCCTAGAAATAGGCAGAGGTAGACAATTTTCTTAAGTAAAAATTATGAAATGCTTTTAAAGGCATTTTTCTCCATCCCTCCCCTTGCCCTGTGTTTGATGTTTTATCCATACATTGCATTTTTCCTGTTCCTTTCACACTTGATCCTCAACTGACACTCAGGATGACCCTTTGCAGGTTATTTCGCCCCTGCGTGAACCATTTCTCTCCTGGTCCTCAGCGCTCACTAATACCAACCTCAGGAGCTATGCGGTTAAGCAGGGCTTCTTTCCCAGCGAGCCTGGACCCTCCAGCCTCTAATAAAGTTCCCACCCCCACCTCCACCCGGTGCAGTGACTGCTACAGAGCCGCCCTGCCGCGCCCTCTCCCCTACTCTTGTCCCACCCAACTCAACTCTCAGAAGTCAAGCCTTCCGGTTACCTGAGGCAGCGCTGTCTGCGGGGACCGGGACGCCGGAAACGGCGTGCTGCAGGAGGGCTGGGTGCTCCAGGCTGGGAGTGATCCCATACAGAACCAACTGCAGGTCCTCCTCGGTGAAGTGGAAACGTTGAGGCGACTTCCTCTCCGGGCTCGGAGCCTTGGGGCCATCCTCAGACTGCTTTGGCGGGGAGCAAGACGCTAACTGAGCAGACTTCAGCCCCTCAGGGACCAGGGACGCCTCCGCAGAGGCCGGCAGCGTTACAGGCTCGGGGCCACAGTACTGGGCCCCGTCGCTGCGGCCCAAATCCTCGTTGCTGGCGCCCGCGTACTCGCGGCCGCCGCTCATTAAGTATGGCACCTCCCCAGGGAGGTGGGCGATCGGGTACCACGGCGGCCACTTGCTGTACCAGGGCACATCGTAGAACGGTTCCCGCTGGAGAGCCAGACTGGGACTCAACAAGGGAGGTGCCATCCGGAAGGCGAAGGAGGCCATGGCCTGGGGCGCGGCTACGGCGCCGTCCAGCTGCTGGAAAGGTTGGAAATCCTCTGCCGCGCTCAGGGCGCTCCTGTAGGGGCCGTAGGCGGCAAAAGGTGCGTAGTAGGCAGCTAGGGGTTGGGGGCTGTTCTGCAGCCTCTCCGGTGGGTAGCACACCTTGTCCTGGAGCTCGGTCTCATCCGAAGGTCGCAGAGCCATCCTCGGGGCGGAGTGCTCGGCGGCTCTGCCGGGAAGCAAGCGGGACTGAGCGCGCGCCTCCCCCCGGGGCCCTGCGCCTGGCCGCCCCTGCCATCCCCAAGTTGAAGGAATCGGATAAACCCATTTCGATCCCTCCTCCAGTCTGGTTTCCACGATAAAGGCAAAACAAGAGAGAGAGAAAAAAAAAAGCAGCAAGCCATAAATAGCCGCAAACGAAAATTTGCCAGGATATCGGCCGACTTCAAGTTCTTAGTTAATGTCACCTCCCCCTTCCCGCTCCACACCCATCTACACCTAGCGCGGCTGCTTTTCAACACCCGCTCCCTACCTGCGGCCCCTAACCCGGCTCCTGCAAAACCTTTTTCGAGTTCCCTACCCTCCGCCTTCTCCGTCCAACAAAACTCCTTCAGGCAGTCGCTTCCAGCCACCCGACCTTCCCGCGCCCCGGGCGGAGGTGGAGAACCCACTGCGAGACACCCCGAGGGCTTCGGAGCACGCGGCGGCTCCAGGCGCCCCTGGGCCCTCTGCAGAGCCCGCGCAGATGGAGGAGGACCGGGAAGCCCGCGTCTGACTGTGCGGGTCCTGGAAATGCAGGCTGCACCGAGGGGAGAGGCGCGCCACCTCCCGCTCCCCAGGGAAGCGCCGTTTCCCACGCCGGCCCAGTCCCGCCACATGCCGCAAGTCCTCTGGCCAACTCCAGTCGCCTCACCTGGGGAACAAGGGGTTTAGGATCGCTTCTCGGGCGTCGGTGGGGGCAAGCCCCCAAGCCAGGTAGGACAGAGACCTCGGCGGCCGCTGGGGTCGCACCGCCCGGAAGGTTTGCGTTTAAGGGACACGTAGCAAGTTCACCAAGGCTGAGGAATGAAGCCCCTTCAGTGTCTCCGTGTCCTGAGGGCAAGATCAATGAGTCCAATAAGAAAACCCAGCCGGGTCGTGACTCAGAAATTAAAGAACACGAGGTCAGGAGCAGAGGTCAGCCGCGACGCAGGCATCTGCCAGTCTCTCTCTGGCAGCGTCTCAGAAGGCGCGCAGCTCCCGGCCTCAAGCATCTGCAACTTGGAGTTGAGGGAACGCTGAAAGAATAAGAACCCCCCGGGAAGGCAAAGACGATCACCCGAAACGAACTGCGCCAGAGACAGCTGCCCGCACTTCCCAGCCGCCCGGGAAGACGCCGGCCAGAGACGGGGCCCCCTAGGCGCGCCCCGCTGGGCACCTACCTCGGCCACCGCCACGAGTGCACGCCTCCCACACCGTGTATGGGGCTCGGGCTCCGGCCCTGTAGGCTTCGGACGAGCCCCGAGGGCCGAGCTGGGCTTAAGAGGGAGGGTGGGCGGGCGGGGCACGCGGCCGGCGAGGGTGTGGAAGGGACCGGGCCCACGCAGGTCCCCAGCTCCGTTTTCTCCCCGCCCACCGCAGCTATTGGCGGGAGCTCGAATCGTCCCCGGGCCCCCAGGGGTCGCCCACCCAAACTCGTCAGTTCTCCCAACGCTCCGGGACCCTAGTGGAGGGCGCGCTCTTTGCCTGTCTCCGGCGGGCTTTTCTGTCGCTCTGGACTACCTGGATCCGGGTGGGGTGGGGACAAAAAGCTGTGCAGGGGCTCCCAGAGAGTCTCCTCTGCGCACACACGCACCCTAATCGGGTGTCCAGATCTCAGGGGTCGCGAACCTGCCGGTGGGCTTCTGGTTCCCAGGAGATGAGCCTGCCGGAAGGCGGCGTCAGAGCCGCCCGACGTCGCTGACACCCTGCGAGGAGCCGGGCGCCACCCTCAGGGCTGGAGAGCCGCGCCTCGAGCAAAGCGTCTGCAAAGACAGGCCCTCCGCTCTTCCGAGGTTTGGGAGCTCTTACTGAAATGGCTTTCAGTGACAGAGGAGCGTCCACTGCGCCGCCACAGCGGCCCCTTCCCTCGGGAAAGCTCGCGACCTTGGATGCGCAGAGCACAGAAAACCCCAAGGCCCAGACACACACCCGGTTCTCAACGACCGCATTTTTATTCGCGGGACCGGTGATTGAAGGAGAGAAAAGAGCGCTTAATTCCATTCACATTCACAGGGGAAGCACCTGGGGAGGGGACCGGCTGGAACGCCAGGTGACCTTGACCGGGGCCCCTAGCCACCCCGGCCGCGGCTTCTCTTTGCAGAGGGGTGCGGCTGTGAGAGAGGGAGAGAAAGGCTCACTCCCCGCACCGTTCCTGCACGGGGCTAGGCGGCCGAACGGGCAGGAAGGAGGAAGCGAGAGAAGAGTCCACCTGGTTACCAGACGCCACCCAAGTTCCCAGAGCTGGCGGCCACGGCACCGCTCCAACCTTCCACGACGGCCGCCGCCTTCCTTCTAGATCCCGGGAACCCGACGCTGCAGCCTTCGCCCTCGGTGCGGCCGGTCGAGGGGGCTCAGAAAGGCGCAGGGCCCCGAGGAGGCGGGAGGGGCGCGCGCCCGCCAGGCCAGGCGGGGGTCCTGGCTTCCGCCAGGAAGCGTGGGCCCGTGCTGTCCTCGTCCATACCCGTGTGAAGTCGCAAGGAGCATCCGAGCTAAGAGGTGGCGCGCGTTCTACGATATTGACCAGCAGGTTGATGGAGTGAGGAGCACGCGCGCAATCTTGCGCCCTGCACCTCTGGGGGAGGATGGCTGACCTGGAAACCGGTTCCTCCCCGAAGCATCCCCGCGCAGGATCCCTACGACTCGGTCCATTACAGTGGCTTCCTTCCTGCCTCCGGAACTTTACCTGTAGGATTTAATGACTGCTGTGGGGACACATGGGTGGTCCGGGGCGGGGGGCGGGGGGGGGGGGGGCTCGTGAGCACTTTTTTTTTTTAAGCCTCCAAAGGCTGTAGCTTTCTCTCCTTCCCTCTTCTCTCCCTCTCTCTCCCATCTCCATCCCTCTCCCCTTTCTCCAGGAGCAACATGAACCTTATCTTAGAGTCTTCTGCAAAGAAGACAGAGTGTATACGTTAAATATTGCAAACATTAGTCTGCTTAAATGGTTTAAAGAAATAGATGAAATCAAACTGGAAGTTCCTGCTCACTCCAACCCCACTCTATGGATGTAATCCTGAGCAGCAGTTTGCTTCATTCCCTTCCTTCATTCCTTTTAATTTTCGTTAAAGATTCATTCATTCATTCAATTATTTATTTATTTGAAAGGCAGAGTGACAGAGAAGAGAGATCTTCCCATTTACTGGCTCACTCCCTAAATGCCCAGCACTGCCAGGGCAGGGCCAGGCTGAAGTCAGGAGCCTGGAACTCCATCTGGGGCTCCCACCTGGGTGGCAGGGGCCTAAGCACTTGAGCCATCATCTGCTGGCCTTCCAGGGTGCATTAGCGGGAAGCTGGATCCGAAACAGCATAGCAGGACTTGAACTAGCACTCCAGTGCAGGCTTTGTAAGTTGCAGCTTAATGCCTGGATCACAGTGTCCGCTCTCATTCCTTTTTGAAACATTCTATACTTTTAAATGTACTTATAAATGTAGAATTTTTAAAAACAAGCTTGTACTTTTCTGCAATTCACAAGTACATAGTTAATATTCTCTATCAATATCCTAGGAGTAACTTTATTCCTTATAATGGCTGAATGGAACAAAATTTCATTTTATGAATGTGCATTTCTTTTTTAAGCTTTATTTTATTTATTTGAAAGGGTAACAGAGAGAGAGACAAAGAGATCTTTCCAGGCCTACTGTTCACTCCCCCAGTGCCCACAATAGTTAAGGCTGGGGCAGGCTGAAACCATGAGCCAGAAACCTCATTCTGTTCTCCCAGATGGATTGGAGGCAGAGTAACCAGGACTTGAACTGGCAGAGCAATATGGGATGTGGAAGTTGTAAGCAGTGGCTTAACCCACTGTGCTTTGTGTTTTGTTTTCTTTTTGATATTTGTTTATTTGCAAGGCTGGGTGACAGAGAGAGGAAGAGACAAGAGAGGGAGAGAGAGTACGCACTTCTATCTGTTGGTTCACTCTATAAATGGCTACAACAACCAGGTCTAGTCAAGGCTGATGCCAAGAGCCAGGAACTCCATCCAGGTCTCTCATGTAGGTAGGGCAGGCTTGGACACTTGAGCTATCTTGCACTGACTGCCTAACCAGACACATTATCAGGAAGCAGAGCAGCCAGGACTGGAACCAGCACTCTGATGGGATGCAGACATAGTAAGCCATGGCTTAACCTGCTATACTACATGATTGCCCCCTACCTTTCTTTTTGTGTTTTCTTAAGGTAAAACATATGATAAAATACACACAACTGTCCCATTTTTGAGAGATGTAACTTCAATCCCTATCAAAATATAGATGGCAGAGCAGGTGCTGTGACTAAACCTCAGCCTGCAGCACTGGCATCCCATACAGGCACCAGTTTGTATCCCATATCCTCTTCCGATCCAGCTCTCTGCTTATGGTCTGGGAAAACAGTGGAAAATGACCCAAGTGCTTGGGCCTCTGCACCCATGTGGGAGATCTGGAAGAAACTCCCAGCTCATGGCTTTGGATCAGCCCAGCTCCGGCCATTGCGGCCGTCTGGGGAGCAAACCAGTGGATGGAAGAACTTTCTCTCTGTCTTTCCTTCTCTCTCTGTAACTCTACCTCTCAAATAAATAACATACACCCCTCCCCCCAGCAACCTTGACAAGTTGGTCTGATTTTTCTTTCCCTACAGGTGGTGGAGTTACCTGTTCTCTGACTTTATATAAGTGGAACCACATATTATGTCCTCTGTAGTGTACCGTCAGAGCTGTAGCTTTTTGATAGGGACAGTTTTGATGCGCCCTGCAGAAAGCAAATAGTAACCAGGACATATTCACCCCGCAGTGCTGGCGGGAAGATTAAAGCGTTCCCAGCCCACCCCCAGGGCTGATTACCTGAAGCTCCTTTGCAAGGAGTTCGGGCAGATCTGCAGCTGGGTCCCCTGTGCGTCCGCCTTCCGCAGTTTGCCTTTGCCGGGAGTAGGTGGACGGCAGGTGAGACAGCCTTAGCAACAACGTCAGTAGCGTTTGCAGTGGCAGCTGATGTTCCACCTGGGGTCCCGGCAAGGTCCTCCCCACTGGAGGGGCTTTGATGCGTCCCAGGGGCCTTCCTGAGCATTTTCGTGGAACTTTGAGATTGGGGCTTAGATTTAGCATTCCACGCGGCTACCTTGAACCTCGAAGGTTGTGGGTGTTTTGGCTATCTCACTGAGCCAATAATTTTGTAAGAAGCCCTGCTTAGGGTAAATTATCAGGGCCCTTCTGTTAGCATTAGGATCGCCCTTGATGCTACCTTTTTGATTGGCTTTAGGATGCTTGAGGTTCCTTAACCGTTAATTTCACTGTTTCCAGAGTACATAGATTGTTGGATGACCCGAAGATGAGTCTACTGGCTTGTGTCTATTAGCTTTTTTTTTTCCCAGCTGGCCAACAGGCTCCAGTTCTGCCATCTGGGCAATAAGGAATCCTAAGGGTGAGCTGAGATCCACTGTGGCAAGTCAGCCTGATCATTTCCTGTTTCTGTGTGCAGATCTGACCCATGAACACAATCAGGGCCAAGTGTAGGTTGTCCAAAGGAATTCTAGAAAGTCTGCATGGGGCACAGATGACTCTTGGACAAATGCCGATTTGGCATTTCCCCCTCTTTTGGGAGAGTGCAGAAAGAATGACAGCGATGGATGGAGTCCTGCACAGGAGAGAGTGACAGTAGCCAATCCAGCGTAAGCTGGCTCAGCTACATGTTGTACATCTTATTAAATAGCAAAGAGTACACACCTTGGGGCAGGCACTGTGGTGCAGTGGGTTAACGCCCTGGCCTGAACCACCGGCATCTCATATGGGTGCCGGTTTGAGACTCAGCTGCTCCACTTCTGATCCAGCTCTCTGCTATGGCCTGGGAAAGCAGAAGATGATGGCCCAAGGCCTTGGGCCCCTGCACCCACATGGGAGACCCGGAAGAAGCTCCTGGCTCCTGGCTTCAGATTGGCACAGCTCTGGCCATTGCGGCCAATTGGGGAGTGAACCAGTGGATGGAAGACCCCTCCCCACCCCGTCTCTCTTCTCTCTATATAACTCTTTCAAATAAATAAATAAATCTTGAAAAAATATTCTTCAATACTCTTAAAAAAAGAGTATACAACTTGAGGACCACCAGGTTCAAGGAAGATCCCCAAGCTGGACAGAGACTAAGGCCTTTGCCTCCAGAATGGGGGAAAACTGTAATAAGCCGTGGTCACTTTGATGCACTTGTGTTCCAACATCAAGCTCCTGAGAAGACCATTGATAAAAAACCCTGTGGAAAGATTTATGGTAAGTTACACCGACTAAAACCAGGGGGTGGTTGAGGAGTTGGCCATAATG